AGAGGCCGTTTACACGTACACGGTGATTTTGATAAACGGAGACATCTTCCTTCGTTTGTGCCCTTCGTTTACACGCAAACGGAGATTTCTCCTCTGAAAACGAGTCTTTCTAAAAACTCCGGCCAGAGTGGAGATTTTGGAAAACTCCGGTTGCGCGTTTGCATGTAAACTGAGATAAACGCAGATAAACGGAGTTATAGGCAGCCCATGTCACAGTATGCGCCGGAACTTGCGCCTGTGTAAAAAGTGCGACCTATGTGGATGGATACATGGAAGGCTTGAGCTTCTCATTACACTGCCACCTACAGGTTTGGCATGCGCTTGTGTATATATACACGGGTAAGTGTAAACGAAGATCTTTTTGAAAACGGAGACGGTGAAATGTCCGTTTATGAAAATAGCCGGCAACGTGTAAACGGCCTCTGAGTTGATGAGAGGGTGATTCAGATCACCTGTTGCACATAGTGTGGGGACTGACTCCTAAGTAGGAATTGAGAGCAGCTTGGTGCATTTCCCCTTTGGGCCAATCAGGGTGTGACGACGTCCCTTCTGAGGGCTTAAGAGAGGTGAGGAAACGTACACTCAGGGCATTCTGATCCTTCCTCGACTTTATGCAGACCTCATATCTCAGCCAGAGGGCCTTTTGAGACATCTTTGCTGTCTTTAGCTGTTCTGTTTGAACTTTCCCTTTCTACTGAGGCACCTGCATTAGACGCGCAGGACTTTTTGCTTGTCTAACAATAACCCCACGCTCACGGGCTGTTTTTTGTGATTTTGTTAATTGGTTTACTTTAATTGAAACCCAACGTAACCCCACTACCCCCATTTATACACACTGTTTATTATCGAAGACGCATTTGTTTGTTATCAAATATGTCAAAGTCCTGCACTCCAGCTTTAAACTGTGGGATTTTGTGATTGGAAAAATACAATTTCAAAAAGACTCAACAAATAAATGTTTACAATAATGATGACACAGGTGGTGAATCCTGGAAGATGCATATTAAATTCATATCTTTTGCTGTAGTTAGGGAAGAACGCGCGACTACCCCATGGCCAGACACTTCAGTAAACTTCAACATTTTTCTCACAGTCTGTCATGTCATTATCTGGGTCATGTGATGGCCTCTGATTGGTTCCTGACACTATATAGGTGGGGCCATCTCTTTGTATGTTTTTAAAGCCCCGGCCATTTTATAAATAATTTTTTGGACATTTTATCAATATTTTCCGACATTTACTAATTATTATAATGCCATTTTATTAATAATTTTTCAGACATTTCATAAATATTTGTCAGACAGTTTATGAATTTTTTTCCAGAAATTTTATTAATAATTTTTCTGACATTTTCTCAATATTTGTTATTATTTAGAATATTCTGGACATTTTATTAATAATTTTTCTGACATTTTATGGATACATTTTTGGACTTTTTTTTCAATATTTTTCCGACATTTATTTATAATTTTTCAGACATTTTATCAATATTTTTCTGACATTTATTTAGAAATTTTCGGACATTTTATCAATATTTTTTCAACATTTACTGATAATTAGAAGGCCATTTTATTAATAATTTT